TGACTTCAAGAAACTAGAATCATGGTGCTATTTTTATGCCAAAAGTTTTATGAATGTAAGTTTTATAATGTGTTTTCCTGCAGTGCCTTTAGCACCTCCTCAAAATTTGACTTTAATCAACTACACTTCAGACTTTGTATGGCTGAAATGGAGCCCGAGTCCTCTTCCAGGCGGTATTGTTAAAGTATATAGTTTTAAAATTCATGAACATGAAACTGATACTGTATTTTATAAGGTAGGTGGATATGGCAGTATGTTTATTTCAAAAACTCAGAAATCGGATTAAAATCTTTTGACATGTAGGGAGAAAATGGACTGCTTTAAATTAAACAAGGACAATCTTTTAAAAATTGTTTTATTTCATGCAATTTAAGGATGCTTATAGAGAATACAAGCAAACATTGGCCAGCTATGTAAGCTGAATACTTCATAGAACAATTTACTTAAATTTGTAACTTCTAGATATCTACAATTTAAGAAAAAATTGCATCATTTTGTTAATGCTGAAAAGTATACAGTGATTTTTTTCTGGCTTATTTAAAACCTGTTGTAAAATGTAATATATTTTTCTGTCTATTGCTAATGGAAGTACTAAGCAAATCTTTTTAACCTTTTCAGAAAAGTATTTATACTGGGCTTCTGATAATTTTTCCTGATAGTGTGTGATCCTATACTAATTAGTCTTTTAAGATAGATCCTTATTCTTTTACTTTCAATACTAATTTGTTTGAAACACTAAATACCCTTTCCTTCCTTTGTTTTTAGAATCCAGAATCAGTGAAAAATACCCAGAGAACTGATGTAACAAAGAGTCTCAAATATACATCTATGATTTCCAGCATTTAATTGCCAAAATATATTATAATTAACTAGTATTTATGAGAATTTTCTTATTTTTTTTTCCAAAAGCAAATGAAGTCCTGGAATATTCTTATTTAGTTACAGCAAGAAGAGTGCAAAAAATCTGCAGTAAACATTTTACCCAATGTTCTATGTGTTATAATTTATGACTATAGTAAATCATTTTTATAGCAAATGTGGCTTACAAATTAAATAGCAGAAATCAAAAGCAGTCATTAACGTTATGTCATTAGGAACAATGACTTTCTTTCTGGAAACCAATATATTACTGTAAAATCTGATAGGCTGAGTAGAATTTGAATTATATTACTTCATAAATGTGGAATCTCTTTCCCAGAAGTGTGAAATTATATCAATGATGCAAAGTTCTAATCCTCTAATATCTATCCCTGGTTCAATCTTAACATTTTTCCATTTTTTATTAGCTTTGTCTATATGAGTCA